CCAAGGGGGAAACCAGATGGTAATTGGAAATCCCCCTCTATCACTCCCCAACTCCCTTCGATGTTCCGGGCCAAATCACCCCCAATAGTCCTGCCCGTTTTCTCCGAGCAAATTTTTACTTGATATGAGTATACTGTGTGGAAGTCCGGGGGGAGGGGAGGGTTAGGGAGGGCTAGGGAGGTTGGGAAGGCTGGGGTGGGTTGAGGGGGGGGGGAAAGGGGTGAAAATGTAATTGTAAAACTTTTGCAATAAAAAAAAGAAATACTAGATTATTGAATTTAGAAGGTCATGATTTGTTGATGGGGTGGCATTCTTTATAGAAATGAAAGTTGAAAAAGCAGAAGAGTATTGATGGTTTTGAATGTTGGTGTTGGAGAAGACGCCTGAGAATACCATGGCCAGCCAAGAAAACAAACCAATGGATCATTGTCCCGAATCTGAGCGATTTTGTCATACAGATACTGCACAAAGTCCTCAGCTCGGCCCTGCAAGGGGTCATCCCGCACTTCCAGATGGAGGAGGGAGCGGGTCACCCTAAACAGGGCGCCGGGCGATTATCTGATGACGCGATAAGAGCAGCAAAATAGCTAGATTTCGCCGCTTTTATCGCCACTAGGTAGGTCTTAATATGAGACCTCACCAGTGTTCGGTCGGATTCGGAGCGGCTGGTCCTCCAACTACTCTCCAGGCGTCTTTTCCGGCGCTTCATCTCCCTAAGCTCCTCGGAGAACCAAGGAGCTAGGTGAGTTCGGTGCCGGGTCAGAGGCCGCAAAGGCACGACACGGTCCAAGGCTCCGGCAGCCGCACTATCCCAGGCGGCCACCAGGTCTTCAGCCAAGTCATGAGCCAGAGTTTCAGGAAATGGCCCAAGCTCCATCTGGAACCTATCAGGGTCCATCAGGCGCCTGGGGCGGAACCACCTGGTCGGTTCCGCCTCCCTGTGGCGGGGTGCAGCGGTTAGAAAGTCCAGTCGAAGGAGCAAGTGGTCAGACAATGGCTATATCCCCTATATCAAGGCCACTCAACCACTGACCAGAGACAAAAACTAAGTCCAGAGTGTGTCCCCCTGTGTGAGTGGGGTCATGAATTAACTGAGTAAGGTCCATGGCCGTCATGGAAGCCATGAACTCTCGAGCCACCTCAGATGTTTCACCGATAGATGGCAGGTTGAAATCCCCCATAATAACAAGCCTGGGGGTGTCCACCGCCACCTCGGCTATAACGTTAAGCAGCTCGGGCAGGGCCGTTGCCACGTGGCAGGGAGCCAGGTACGTGACCAACAAGCCCATCTGTACTCCACGACCCCACTTTACAAAGAGGGACTCACATCCGGCTATCTGTGGAACAGTGGTCTCCCTTGGATCCAGCCCTTCCTTTATAATAACCGCCACCCCCCCCCGCCCCTACCCTGAGCCCTCGGCTGATGAAATGCACGGAAGCCTGGTGGGCATATATCCACGAGGGGACTCCCCCCTCCTGGCCCAACCAGGTCTCCGTAATGCCCGCCAGGTCCACCTCCCCCTCCTGAATAAGATCGTGAATGAGGGGGGCTTTATTAACAACGGACCTGGCATTGCATAACATCAGCCGAAGGCTCTGGCCCTGAGAATCTGGACAGCCTGGGGAACGAGAAAATAGCGAGTGCGCATTCCCCGAACATGATGTGGTCCCCAGCTACCGCCATATCTGCCCCTCCCACTCACTATGCTGATGGAACAGCCCTCTTCAAATCGAACTCCAACCCCCTCCCCGACCTCCGGTTCTACGTCCCTAATGTCGCAGCCCTTCGCTAAGACATACTTAGGTTGCCACGGGAAGAAAGGATTAGATGGGAAGAGGCCATGGAGAAAGAGATGGCCAGCCTGAGAGAGCTAAATGTGTATACTCCATCCAAGATACCAGACAACAAAGTACCCATTGGGACAAAGTGGCAGACGCTGTAGGCCAGAGATCAAGGCACATAGACATCAAACATAAACACGTCAGACAGTTAACGAACATTGGCTTTATCAAATCCATACACTGCGAGACTACCGAACAAATCGCTGACATCCTGACCAAACCCTTACAGAACAAACAGCACGCCTACTTAACTTCAAGATTAGACACACAGCTCCAACTGTTAGGCATTTAGAGGGGGTTTTGTTACATATAAATGCCTAACATTGCTTCCCCATGGCAGAGCCCCATTCCCCTTAACCCCATTCCCCTGATCCCTCCTTATCTTAGCTCCACTTCCCTGGTATATAAGGTGTGGTCCAGAGATCCAGATGCATTTCCAAACGTTCACCTGTAATAGAAATAACTGATCAATAAAGAACTTTGATTCAAGAACATTTTGTGTTGGAGTTATTGGGTAAGATCCTTGGAAACACGTCACAGGAAGTCACTTTAGATAACTTTACATTGTCAGCCCTGGAAGCCATCTTTTGCACTGGGCCTTCAGGCCTACCATATTTACTACTGTGGGAAACTGGGATGAGGGATTGTATGGAGCATGGGTGATATATAGTCATAATAAGATTCCTTTCTCAGAGAGTCAAGGACATCTTGCCCTGCACCTGGAGGGCTAGAACTGGAAAGCATCTCCAGTTGGGACGGTGCTTTGATTGGACCATGTGATAGACATGTAGATGCTGGGCAGGGACTTGGACTTTCCTTTGGGTGGGGAAAACTTGGAAGCTTTCAGATTCTGGTTTTCCCAGATGTGCCAATATGACATCTCTAATAAAATGGAACTTTGAGGAACTTCAAGCCTTGGAGTCTTTTTTCATTGGGGGTGTTACTTGGAACCATGACATTAACCTGAATCTGCCTTAAAAAGTCCAACCAGCTCCCTGGGCTCCGGGATGCTCCGAATGTTGACCCAAAATCAGGCTGCGTGAAGACTCAGGGAAGATGGAGGAAAACAAGGCAGCCACAGAGGGAGTGGTTGGTTCAGTGGGCAATGTCAAAACCATCTACTTCCCTTCCAAAGCCATAGTGGAAGGGGAGGAGGCCACAGAAAGGGAACGCCAGCTGGGTGTCCGGGCCAAAGAGCCAGCAGCTGAGCAAGCCATGCAAGTGGATCTAACCCTGTGGGGTGAAGCTGCAGGAGATGATGACAAGGGCAATGTTGTCAGAATTGCGATTGAGTGGAGGCAGGGCAGAACAGATCCCAACCCTCGAGTGGAAGTTGCCAGGGCAATTGTGCCACAAGCACTCCTGGGAATGGGGGTTCTTGCCACCGACATGCAGCCAGTTGCTAGCTGGCCTCCCAGAGCAGTTCGGCCAACTCAGCATGGGCAGTGCTGCTCAACCCCTTGGGACTGAACAGCCCAGATGGGCTATGGCTCAACCTACGTTCACCTTCCAGAGCCAGGAAGTTGCAGTACCACTGAGTGGGATGCCGACCTCCTTTCACTCACTACGGAGCGGGTCATTCCATAGCCTCACACATCAGGCCCAGTCTACTGGGAATGCCACTGTGGGAATGGGCATGGCACAGCAACAAAGTCCATTGAACCAACCTGGGACTAAGGGGACCAAGTACTCCATCCCAGCAACCAGTCTTCAGGCTATATCCAGCAGACCAGATCCCTCCAGGTTGGAATTTTACCCTGGTCAGGGGTGGGTGCAATATCAGTGGATGCCTGCCCCAGTCCTACAGCCCATGGCCACCCATCAACCAGCACACTTCCAGCCACCAGTCATGGCCCAGCAGCCGGTACTGGCCAGCCACTGCTGCAGCTCTAGCAACCAGTCGTGGTCCCATAGCAGGTTCCAGCCTAGCAGCCAGTCCCAGCCCAATGGCCCACTAGCCGCTCCCCCTACCCAATTCAGAGCGACATTTGATGGGACCCCAGGAAGGACTAGCTTACTTCCTCAATTGAATCTGAGCTTATATCAACCAATATGGGAATCAATACCCATCGGATTGGGAATTGATTTCAGCTATTGCAGATGACATGAACAAGGGAGAAGCAGTGGAGTGGATAGCGGAACTTCATGATGAGAAAGCTCCCAGGTTGGAAGATGCTGACGAGGTTGTCCAACTGCTCTGAGGCTGGTTCGAGGACATGGCCCAGAGATTAGAAGCGGAGGTTCAAATTAAGATGCTGAAGCAAGCCTGCCGGCCTCCCATAGAGCTAGTTTGGGAGCTTTGAAGGCTGGCTGGGAAACTGAGAGACTGGCCGGAGCGCCTCCTTGTTCACCACTTCAAGGAGGCCCTCGACCAGGGGTGAAATCCAGCAGGTTCTAATAGGTTCTGGAGAACCGGTAGCGGAAATTTTGAGTAGTTCAGAGAACCGGCAAATACCATCTCTGACTGGCCCCAGAGTGGGGTGGGAATGGAGATTTTGCAATATCTTTCCCCAGGAGGGGAAGGAATGGAGATTTTGCAGTATTCTTCCCCTGCCACGCCACCAAGTCATGCCCACAGAACCAGTAGGGAAAAAAGTTGGATTTCACCCCTGCCCTTGACCCAGACCTTAGGCAAGTGCTGAAAAAACTCCTCGCTGCAAAACTCTATGCGAAGCTGTCAAAATGTGAATTCCATCAGACCTCCCTAGATTATCTAGGCTACCAAATATCCAGCGGAGGGGTGGAGATGGACCCAGGAAAAGTGAAAGCAGTGCTAGATTGGCAGCCCCCACGCACTCGCAAACAGCTTCAAAGCTTCCTGGGGTTCACAAACGTCTACAGACAATTTATCCCAGCCTTTGCAGAAGTCGCCCTGCCCCTAATAGAACTATTAAAAATGGGGCCTCCTCCTGCAGCACCATGGCTGAGCCAACCATTTGCCTGCTCAATGGACTGTCAAAGAGCCTTTGAAAAATTATAACGCTCTTTGCTGAGGAGCCGATCCTCCAACACCTGGATCCAGAATGACAGTCCGTCATCCAAGCAAATGCCAGCGACATAGCCATGGCAGCTGTGCACCTACAGAAGGACAGCTCCTACACTGTGTTGAAGAAGCTTACCAAGACTAAAAGGAGGTGGGCTGCTTGGGAAAAAGAAGCCTATGCAGTCCGCTGGGTTCTCCTCTCCTGGAGGCATTTTCTAGGAGGGAGTAGATGCCCTTTGACATGCCCTTTATGATCCAGACTGATCATAAAAACCTCAAGGAAACTATCTCCCAAACAAATCCGCTGGGCACAGTACTTCAGGTGGTTTAAATTTGAGCTGAAATACATCCCAGCAGGAAAGAATCTACTAGATGTCATGTGCTTCCTTACTAGAGTCTTGTCAAGGTGAAAGGCTGTGAATGGATCCTAATGCCAAAACATAAAGAAAAAAGACAATGAAATATTATAAGAATCATCTTAAAGGCAACCTGGAAGAAACATGTTTAGGCTTATAGATAATATTTGATTCTTATCTTTCTTCCCTCCAATTCAAAGCATGACAGACATAATTCCCAGGAGGTGTTTGACCGAAGATATTGAGTCACTTGCACTATTAATTCAGAAATTGGCTCTGAAGGGTTATGATTAATTCTAAACTATAATTATTCAGAAAATGATTTTAACTTCAATTAAAGTCTGGAGCAAAGATGATGACAAATAAACTGCAGTGTTTTGCAAAAAACATCAAAGACAGAAAAATGTATAAATCACATAATTTAATTGTTTAATACTTTTTTTCTACAAAGTAGTATTTATAAATAGTTTTTCTCAGCAATATAAACCAGCTTTACTGCTTTACTCTGCAGATAGAATTCCTGCTTTTCTGCTCGTTTCAATTTATTTGTAGGTGGAACATGCACAACTTGCTTAGTTCTGCATTAACTTTTATTTAATTTTAAAGTTGAGAAAAAATCTATACTGCTTTTTAAAGACATTTGTAGAAAGTATAAACCTAAAGAATGTAAAACTTTCAAAAATATAATATGTGGACCAATTAACAAAAGACATGGAAGAAGCTGCTTAAGGCTTTGAAAAAGAAAGGAGAAATACAAAAAACAAATCAAAATAATGATCTGGATAATGACTTTCCATGGATCTACAAAAGAGGTTTGCTAAAGACTTGAAGAAACCTCTGTGATACAACAAGAAAAATCTGAATGAATTAAAGACCAAGAGTATTAGAAATAAAAGAAAGGAATATAAAGTTGTTCTGTTTGATCAAGATTAAAATAAGACATACTTTTTATAAATCTCTGGTAACTCTTTTATGGGATTTTTGCTGACGACAGGATTGAAAAGTTGATCATTTAGCATTATGCATGTAGAAGGATGGGTTTTGGGAAGATAGATATTTATTTGTAACTTTATAGCAGGTAATGAGTTATCAAATTTCTTTTTACTTGGCATACCTGGCAAGATTGGAAGTCACTTCTTTATATATTTCTTTTCTTTTTGTTTATTCTACTTCTTTCCCTTTTGTTTTTCTATTTTTTCCCCATTTTTTAATGTATGTCAATGAAGACTCAATCATCCAGGCCAAAGGTGTCTAAAGGTGGAATCATAGCAACTGGACCAAACTTTGTTAATCTGAGATGCTTCGCTGCTCATCCAAGCAACTTCATCAGTCAGAGTAAAAATTAGTTAGGCAGAGAATCGTTGGAATGTTCCAACCCTTGCCACACCAATTTCATTTGAATCTTGATTAGATTCAGATTAACATCTCAGATTAACAAAGTTTGGTCTAGTTGCCATAATTCAAACTTTAGTCACCTTTGGCCTGGATGATTGAATCTTCATTGCAACTCATTTTGGGGAGAAGCACCTGAAATTGGTGCGGCAAGAGTGGTACATTCCAATGACTCTCTGACTCTCTGCCTAAGTAATTTTTACTCTGACTGATGACGTTGCTTGGCTGAGCAATGAAATATCTCAGATTAACAAAATTTGGTCCAGTGATTCAACCTTTACACACTTCAATTTTTTAAATTCTTTCTCTTTTTTATTTTTCTGAGTTTAATTTGCATTTGATTTTACTACTGTACTGAAAATCTTTATATATATATATATATATATATAAAGTGAGAGCTTGCTAGGTGTTAGAAAAGAAAAAAGCCTAGATAATAATATATATATATATTAAAATGTAAGTAAAAGGCAACAGAAAGAAATAATAATCTTGCAAAAGGGAAGACAGACGGGATAGTATTGCATGACTGAACTACTGGCTCCTTGTTAAAGTTAAAGCGATGCTGCCCTTTGTTGACGCTCCAGGGGAGGCCGTGGGGACGGTGGGAGTTCCTGCGAGACCCAACAGTCGATGGAGGCGACTTCGGAGGGCTGGCGATGCCGATGTTGGCGCTGGCTACGACGCTGGGACGAGTGGCTGCGGGGGATGACATCAGAGAGGGCGAAGAGGGAGAGCATTGGGAGAGTGAGGGGCACTCCAACCATTATACCATCTATGCTACCAACACTGTTTTTGGGACTTCCTGTGCGGCCATGGGGGCGGTGACCCACTTGGAGAGGGCCCACCTCTGGTCGTTTCAGAGGCTCTCCCCCCTCCCTCGTTTGGATGGGGGTGAGCTAGAGCTAGAGGCATTGTGGACTTTATTGGCCGTTAAACATCTCTGGCCAGGTCTTCCATGCCTCATATGGTCTATTAGCCTCTGTGAGGCTATTTATCACCTGGAGGTGACCTCTGGACAATGTGACATCTGCCTCCCATGGACTTTTTGGCCTCCCGATCCGCCTAAGGTGCAGCCATCAGAGTCTCTGCCTGGCCCGTGATCCTGTAGATTGGTGGTTGTCATCAATTGCTCTCCTATTGTAGAGGGATATACCCTGGATTTCAAGTCTGGTATGGAGTCGGACGATGACTGAGGTTCTTGGCCCTTCCCAGCTTTCATGAGAGGTCAGCTGGTGTTGACATCTGGCCATGAAATGGCTTAAGACTCCATCCACTGCTGTGAGAGAGCAGTGGAGTTATTGACTTGGACATGATTGGATATCCCTTTTCCGGAATTGGGACCAACTTGATTAACCCCTGGCCGTGGGTTTCCCCCGATTATTTAGATGTATTCGCCAGCGGAGCTTCTTATTCTGCAAGACTCCCCCCTCTCGCAGGTGTGGCCCTCCACTCTACCAAGGGCCTACCTTTATGACGGGCTTTGGCACCCCAAGAGGTGGCATGCTGCAAAAAGGGGATTGAGGGGTTTTCTGGGGAAATTTTTAGACAGGTTTTTAAGAGGTTTTAAGGGGCAGGAGGGTTGTGTGGGTTTGGGGGTTAACCCACAGGGGGAGGGATCTGGCCCAGCTGCCAGTCGGGCCATGGAGGGTACAGATTCCGGGGGTAAGGGGGGCAGCAGAGTTCATTCTGCCGAGGGCTTTACCATCACTACGCTGAATGGGAGGGGCAGATATGGCGGGAGCAGGGGACCATATCACGTGGTGGGGGTACGCACTCGCTACCTTCGAGCGGTGGCACACCCCGGTCCCCATAGCCCTTCTTGTTCCCCAGGCTGTTCAGACTCTCAGGGCCCGAGCCTTCGGCTGTTGTTGTGCAATGCCAGGTCTGTGGTAAATAAAGCCCCCCTTATCTGTGATCTTATTCAGGAGAGGGGAGCGGACCTGGCAGGCATTACGGAGACCTGGTTGGGCCAGTAGGGGGGAGTTCCCCTCGTAGATATGTGCCCACCAGGCTTCCGTGCATTCCACCAGCCAAGAGCTCAGGGCAGGGGCGCTTTCTGCCGCCAATAGCCTCCCACTGGCCAGTACGCTCCCACAGAGAGGGACTCCTCAGGGTGCCGTCAGCCAGACAATGTCGGCTGGCGACCCCAGGGGGAGAGCCTTCTCTGTGGCGGCACCTGCCCTCTGGAACGACCTACCCCCAGAGATACGCACGATACCAGACCCCCAGACTTTTCGTCGAGGCCCTGAAAACACATCTTTTTCACCTAGCCGGGCTGGCTTGATCCCATCCCTTCGGTTTTAATTTGTAATTGGTTTTAATCCTGGTTGTTTTAAATGGATAGCCAAAATTATTTAATGTTTTTTAAATTGCTTTTAAATTTTATATGTGATGTTTTACCATGGCTGTTCACCGCCTGTTGAAGTCCTGTTGAAGAAGGGCGGTATACAAATTAAATAAAAATAAAAATAAAATAAATAAATAAATAAAAGTTGTATATGGTTAATTAAAAACTTACAAATTGATTATTTAATTGCCACAATAATGGGTTATGATTTAATAATTACACTTAAATATAGTTGCTTCTTATTCTGATTTTCACTTTTGTTTTTGGTGAAACTGTAAAAACAAGAAAATTGCAGTGTTTTACCAACAATTCTAAGAAAAGCTAACCTATAGATCATAGGTTTAAATTGTTTTTTCTTAATTCTTTTTTGTTGTTGTTGTTGTTCTGAAAGCATAGCGTATATCAGGAATAATAGGTGAGTGTGAACGTAAAAGAAAGAGAATCTGTGTGCTGATTTCACTGCACCATTTTGTAAGTAGGATTCCTGTTTTATTTCTCTCACTTCTATTTAAAGTCCTTCAGAGTTGGGAAAATCACAGACTCATAACATAATGGATTTTTAAAAGGACCATGTAGGCCATTATGTCAAACTTCTCTTCTTATGTGTGAATCCTCCTTAATGGAAGGCTGCCCTGTCTCTGCCTGAAGACATCGAAAAAGGAAGCCCACACCTTTACTCAATCAATAATTCCATTATCACACACCACTTGCTTCCTCAACATTAAGCTGGAATCCTATAACTGAAGCCTGTTTACTGAGTCCCACTTAAGAGTTTTCCTCTTTAGGCTAAATAGTTCAGTTTAACAATTCCTTCAGCAACCATATCACTCTTTGTAGCTCCTGTTCCAACTCTTTTGGACCTTTTTTAAAGTGTAGCTCCACAAACTGAACAAAGAGCAGAATAAATGGAATGCTTTGTATATAACCAAGAAAGCCAAAAGACTAGCAAAAAGGAGTCAATATGTGCTTCATATATTATAGAAAGACTTTGGAAAAGTGTTCAGAAAAATAGGAATGCCAGAATCTCATTGTCCTCATGAGAAACTTACATACAAGTCAGGAAGCCACAGTACAGGCAGAGCATGGTAAGATAGACTGACTCTAGGTTAGCAAAGGGGTACAAGGCTGTGTACTTGACCCTTATATCCAACCTATATGCTGAATATATATATATATATATATATTTTATTGAAAAAGTTTTCAAATACAAGTTTTCCCCCCTTTCCCCCCTTCTTCCCTAACCCCCCCTCACCACCCATCCCCCCTGTGACTTCTTCTTCACAACAATAAGCTAATTCATAATTAATTACATAATATTTTACCATGCCCTTACTCACTCCTCAAAGTACTGACCCTTAGCATAATATTCTTATAACTCCGCTTTTCTCCGCTTTTCGCAATAGTCTACCCTTTTTCTCCTCCCCCAAACTTATAAAATATTATTATTATTACAACATAACCTTTAATCTTTTATATATATTAATATAACATTTCAAAGCAGCCTTCTCCAAATTTAACATTTATTCAGTTCTATCCAATTCTTCCACTCCCCAAAATATATGACTTAAAAATCCTTTTTCTTAAACTAATCAATCACTAAACTAGCCTATTTCAACCCAGTTTCCTGCAAGATTACCATACACTACAATTCTAAATAATTCTAAATAATTCTAAATATAATCCACTGCCCACTCTACTAAAATATACATATGTCTATATATACATTCCATTTTATAAAAAGAGAAAAGACAATAACTTTAAATTTATAATTCATTTAGTATCTTCTTTGATGTCTTTCCACTAGATTGTTAAATCCATCATCCATAATAGGGTAACATAGCATCCTGGTGCAACAGTTTATTCAAAATCTTCAGTCATCTTCTGCTGAATATATATTAAGGGGAACTGGTTTTAACACTGGAGGAAGAAACATGAATAGCCTCTATTATGCTGATAGCCCTACCCTGAAGCTGAATATACAGAAAATCTACAAGTTTTAATAATAAAAGTCGAGGAGCAGAGTGCAAAATGGGATTAAAATTAAATATATAAAGAAGACCAAGCTAATTACAACAATGTACAACGACATCGACAGTGAAAATACTGAAAATGACAAATAGCTTCTGCCTTTTAGAATCAACCCTGAAGCAATCAATAAATCAGACTAGCACTTAGTAGAGCTACCACAGAAGCCTTGGGAAAGATATGCCACGCCCATAACTACAAATATCATAATTGTGTGAGCTATGGTATTCCCTGTGACACTCCATGGAAGCGAAAGAAACTGCGACCACCGGAGTCTTCGTCTCGGCACCTGCCGCGCGCCTTACCGTGGCGTCCTGCCCTGCATAGCAGCCGATGGTCCGAGAGCCCCCCGGGTGCCTCTTGTAGAACCGGCTGATGTCATAGACTTTCCTGTCAATCACCAGCCAGCGCTCCCGTGGCGGGTCTCCCTGGCCAGAGCGCAACCCGATCTCTTCCCAGGTAAACAACCGCGAAGGCCAGGATAGATAGGCCGCGGGATCAGCCTCCCTCCTCCTCCTGACCTCGGTTTCGCTTTCCTGGGAAGCCATCTCCCCTCCGACTGAGGCTTCAGGAACTTGGCACTGTCCTTTTCAGCACCATCGGGAGGGCGGACTGGGCGAATCCGAGCGAGGGAGTTTCCCACTTTCTTCGCCTTCGATTGGCCGACAGAGTTTCACTGGCGCTGCTCTCGTGGGACAAACGCAGACTGGGAAACTCCGAAAAAGCAACTCGGCCGAGCCTAACATGTTCGGCTTTTCGAGTAGGAAGGAGAAGCAGGCTGCCGGCCGGTGTGAGTCATTGTATTTTGAAAAGTTGCCCTCCTCAGCTTGGTAGTGATGGGACGGAAATCAGCTGTGCCAGTAATTGTTTATTTTGGAGAACAAACTGAGGTGGGATTCTAAGAGTCACTGTAGACTAGGTGGCTGAGTGGCTAAGACACTGAGCTTGTCGATCAGAAAGTTTGGAGGTTCGAATCCCTAGTACAGGTCTCCTGAGTGAGCAGGGGGTTGGACTAGATGACCTCCAAGGTCCTTTCCAACTCTGTTACTGTTACTCTCTGCCTTCTTTCCATTCCTGGAATACCACAGGTTGAGAATTTCTCCTCGCTATACCGAAAGGAGACTGACACAATCTGAAACAGCTTTCATTTGTTTAAGCATTATAGTGGCAAACAAAACACACATCTTACTGGTAGCTTGCAGGGAATGGTGGGGGTGGGCTGACAGAGATATATCACTAATAAACTACATCCCAATTTGATGGCATATAATCATTACTTAATGTTTCTAAATCTTGAGGCACAATGAACTTTCCCACAGCTTCCTTCTCTAAAACTCTTTTTGGCACCAGCAGATGGGTGGTTCGTAGGCAATAAGCCAACAGTAAGTTGATACTGGTAAAGAATTGAGATGATTCACTGCTCTGGATTGAGAATGAAAATCTGACATCAGGACTTTCACAGTGTTACTATCCCTGGGAATAATGCTTCTCTGTGCATTGGGAGACCTTAAAAGTTTGAAGTATAATAAAATAAATACCTCCCCAAATAAGACATATTTACAGGCAATGATTACTGAGTATCTTACTCCCATTTTCTTACCTGTCTTCCACTGGAAGGTAACAAATGGGATGTTTTAAAGGAAAAGAGAGCAGAAAAGAGGAAAGTCTGGAGACAAGTGAGGTTTGTCAGGAAAGAGCCTGAGTGGCGTAGGAGGCTAATGCCTCCTACTAAGGCAGCATTTAACATCCAGCTGCCTGCAATTACTGCGAGTTCAATTCTCACCAGGCTCAAGGTCGACTCAGCCTTCCATCCTTTCTAAGGTGGGTAAAATGAGGACCTGGTTTGTGGGGGCGATTAGCTGATTTTATATAAAATATACAAAAGTATGAAGGCTATTGCTTAATGCATTGTAAGCCGCCCTGAGTCTCCGGAGAAGGGCGGCATATAAAAATAAAAAATAAAATAAAATAAAAAATAAAAAAGCTTTTCTTATAAATCAACTCTTAAAGTTAAAAATCAACTCTTATAGAAAACCCTTAATAAAATAAGCTGTCTGTTTGTCCCAGACAGCCTATTTAAAAATATCAAAAAGTGAATTTTCTCAGTGTATTTTCTAATTACTATTGTTTTATTTCTCATAATTACTTATTTCAGTATGGAAGCCATCTGGTTTATCTGGATGTCTCATATGAGCCATTTCCCTGCTCAAGAGAGAACATTTCCATTTTTCTGCTTAGAGGCACCATCTTTCACTTAATCCATTAATGCTTTGGAGCACCGGATCTTTGAATAAAGCATTTTCATGACTGCCAACTAAATTGTCTGGTCACCAAAACCATTGGGAAAGAGCCCTGATTCTTTGCCTGGATTAGCTCATTGCCTTACCAGCTATAAAATGGGATTCTGTTGCAAAGGAAAAAGAAGGGTGAAGAAAGATTGAAGCAAATAATCTATGCAAGAAATTATTAAGGCATAGGAGAGATTCTCCAAGAAATGAAAGAAAATGAAGTACATGGAAAGATTTCAGCAGGAGGATGCTGAAGCTGATGCAGAACATAATGAGGGATCATTAAAGCCTGACTTTGATTATGTCAGCAGCTTCTGATCTGATGCTAAAGCAGAAGCATAAGAGTACTCAGCAGCAGTATAGAGCTTTGGTGTATTCATGGTGCTTCCACATAGATACAGAAAAGAATAGCCAGCATAACGAAACTCACATGACAGAAAGTATTAGTTTGCCTGAAGCTATTGCCTAAATTAATACTAAATGCTAAGATTTTAGTAACACATTTCATCTTCCTAAGAACAAATTCTTTTGAAATCAGTGGAGCTCACTGCTAGGACCCCACTTTCCTGGGAATTCAAATTCAGCAGGCACCCTTTGTTAGAGAGCATGCTCAGCATATGCAGACTATTTGCATATATGCAAATATGCAGGTTGCTATTTATATAACAGAATGATATTCTTCTCGATATCATTATCTTGGATGCACAGTGCAAGTTTAGCCCAACTGTCAAAAATACCAGCTGTTCAATTTCAGTTTATGGGAAAAGAAAGCCTCACTTCTATATGAACTATACCTTGAAGAGAGGAAAGTACAAGAAACTTCATCTCTTAAAAACAGACTCTCATATAACTAACCATAGGGCAGGTGAGAAATAGACACAGGGTCAGTAGGTGAACATCTTCTCCTTGTCTATTTGTCATCATTTGCCAAAAGATGGCAAAAGGACAAAAGGCTGTTAGGTGAAAAGAAAGAGTGCAGTTGCCAATAACACTTTTGAGTGACATGCATACTTGGAATCTGAGTGATGTGCTGGAAGTTTCATCTTAAAAACTGCCTGCCCTCTACGGTGGAAGGTCGAGACAACATTAAATGAACTGCCTCAAACAATGACCAGTCATCACTGATTTCTCCAATGCATTTGCTAAACAAAGGCATGGAGTTATTAAGTGGAGCTGAGGGGTGGGGGAGTTCCTGGGAGGCCTAGCACAGGCACAAGCCCGTTTGTTTCAAGCCTCTCAAGGCCTACCACACCCTACATGGAGACCCACCACACCGTTGACTGTTTTTCTAGGGGAAAACAATGGGGAAGGAAAGCACTGCTTTCTGAACTGATCAGCTGGCCCCCTACCAACTGGCCATAAGGAGACTGCAAAGCTGTCCTGCTTTTTGCCTGGCTTTGGGAAGTCAGCCCTTGCATAAAAGGCAGCTTCAGCATGAAATTCCCCAAATCTGTCCCTTGTTTAATCACCTCCCTCCATTCCCCCCCCAAAGAAAGCTAAATTTCTTCCCCCCAAAAAACTGGGAGGGGCAGACTTTCCTCCCCCTCCATTATCCCAGTTAGGTGCTAAAACTAAACTCTACTTCTGCTCTCCAATCTCTACCCCTTTTAAAAACTTTGTCTTGACTCCAGAGTGAAGAATAAAGAAATGCAGTAAGCAAGGAAATACAATATTTCTGTAGCTTTTCCCCCTGAACTAATAAAAAGGTCATCTCCAAAGGTTGTGCAACAAAATGCAAGCTTTGGCTGTCCGTCTAACTGCCTGTAAGATGGAGTCTACAATCTGGCCTTTAAGGGCTCTAGTATTAAGTGTTACCTGTTACAGAGCCTCCCTATGATAGGAAGCAACCGTGGTTGGAAAGAAAGGGACGATTGGAGGGCTTCACCCGCTGTCTCTTTCTCCCTTAGGCCTCATCAACATGCAGTGTTGACCATTCCTGATGCAATGACTGGTTCACTGGGCACCTGAACTTCCAGATTGAGCATCAGTGAGTATAAACTGGAGAAGAAGCAAGGGCATAGAAGTTTGTGTGTTGGAGGGGGAGACCTTCAGGGCAGTCATACATCACACATGGTTGATGTTAAGTAGGTCTGCCGTGTTTTAGACCTAGCAAAATGTCTGGGATAGTCACCTGACACCCTCTTTTCTTCTTGCAGCCTTTTCCCCACCATGCCTCGACGCAATTATTACAAGGTGCTCCTCTGATCAAATCTCAGTGTGCCAAACATGGTGTTCATTACAAGTGCAAGCCCATCCTCACAGCTTTTGCAGATGCAGTAAATTCACAACTGAGGGAGGCTCCTCTTAGGCACTGGCTTACGAGAGTATGCTGCAGCCAGAAAGAGCACAAAAAAGATTGCCTGGTGAATATGTTCTCACTGCCACCAATCCCCTTCTCTTTTTTCTTTCTGTAGTCACCTGAAGGAGTCTGGGCACCACCGGCAGGGGAGGGGAATGGGTGAAAGTTAGGTAAATAAAATTAAGAGAATAACTGGTGACAAAAGATAAAGTTCAGGGGTGAAATTCTCCTGGTTCGGATTGAATCATCTGATCCGGTAGCGATGGCAGCGGGTGGTTCAGAGAACCGGTAGCAAAAATCCCTGCCCCCACCCCACCATGCCCAGCTGAGCTGCATGATCATCAGAGGCTTTTTTTTTTACTTTTAAAAGCATTTTTTCTACATCCTCTTCCGATGAAAAAAATGCTTTTAAAAGTAAAAAAAAAAAAGCCTCTGATGATCGCGCAGCTCAGCTGGGATCATCAGAGGCTTTTCAAAGCATTTTTTTCTGCAACCTCTTGGCCGAAGAGATGGTAAAAAAAAATGCTTTGAAAAGTCTCTGGCAACTCCCAGCGGAGTTGCCTTATCAGCAGAGAGGTATTTTTTAAAATGCCTCTCTGACGATCCCAGCTGAGTTGCTTGATTGGCAGAGGCTTTTCAAAGCATTAGAAAAAATGCTTTGAAAAGTTTGTTTTAAAAAAAGTTAGCCACGCCCACCCAGTCACATTAACCCCACCACCCCCAAGCTATGCCCACAGAACCGGTAGTAACAAATTTTACATTTCACCCCTGCTAAAATTGTCAATGGTTCTCTTATTTACAATGATTAGACAGATTTAAAGTAGACACAAGAATTTGTGGTTATGAACATTGTAAGATTAAATTTAAAACAGAACTGTATACAAATGATAAACACATTATTGCTAAAATGTATAAAATCTTATTCAAATTTAAAACAGAAAAAGAACAAGTGAATGAAAGTATGACACTATGGACTAAAAATAGATTTTAATATACAATGGGAATTATAGGAAAATATGTTGGTGAAAGTATTGAAATTTGCACTATGTTATAATCTTAAAGAGAATTTTTACAGAAGGATGTATTATTGGTATATGTCACAAGAAAAATTATCTAGAATGTATACAGGCACTTCAAATTTATATTGGAAATGTGAACAAGAAGAAGAAATATTTTGTCATGTTTTGGATTTATGAAGAAGATAGAAAATTCTAGATTCAAA